TTCAATCATTGCCTGAACAAGCCGTTCAAAGAAAATGTCAGACAAAAATAGCTGACTTAGCTCATCTGCAGCCCATATGAATACATGCCTGCAGGAAAGAAGAAACATTTAATGTACAACATGCTTCTTTGTTGGATCAAGGAGAGTTGTGCTGAAATTCCTGCAGAGATGGTTCAGAAGTCCTTTAAGATTTGTGACATTTCAAACGTGCTTGATGGAACAGAAGATGATGCCCTTTATGCTGAGCAGATGGATGGCATACCTGAAGCCTGGGATGATGAAGCAGAAGATGAAACTGCCCACAAGTTCAAGGTGGACATCAAAGAGGAAGACTAAAGACCTACAGTGGGATGACTGTGCTCTCACTTAAAAAAGATGGCTCTTTCAGGAGCCACCACCACTGTTAAGCCAATAACCAATGTAAACAAGTTTGTGCTTAGTTTTTCCATGTTGGATATTCGGCCATGAGCCAAATATGAACATGTGTGGTGACCTATACAAATTGTTTGTGTTTTGATTTCAAGAAGATCTTGCTTATAAGCCAAAAACCCTTTTTGGACTAAAATTTTGGTAGGACTTCAGAAATTTTCTAAAAATATCACTCAGCTTACAGCCAAATAACTGCAGTAGTGTGGAACAAAGCTAAAAAAAACCAAGAATGTACTGATGGTGGAACTGAAGAAGACCTGACAGGGTGTTTTGCACCGACTGACAATAAGGCTTATTTGCCTTATGGGCCATACAAACAACAAGCAGCAAAAGGCAAGAGGAAAGCCTTTGATAGTTATTCACTGTCCACACTAAGGAGAGCTAAGAGGAACCTCAAAAATTCTGCATGGTCAATGCAACCAGTTGAAGTTCTTATAGGGTGTTTAAAAAACTTCAAAATGAAGTGCTACTTCAATGGAATTGATTTCAATGCCAACCTGGACTTGATGCATACCAAGATATATCGTTATTTGGCTGTTGATTTTACAGAAGAATTTGATCCTGGGGCTGTTACTGAACAAGTAAAGCCTCTATAAGAAATGAATGAGAGGGAATACAAAGCTTTGAAGAAATACCAAGATGATGAAAAAAGTCGTATCAAGAAAGGGTGTGATAACTTTAGAGAAAAGATAAGAAATGTGAGACAAGATTTTTAGGCACCAGTTAACAAAGGTACAAGAAGCATAAGTGGGAGGATTGCTGAAGAAACTTTTGAGCTGTTGACTGAAAAATGGGGTAGGCTGCCTTATGTTTGTGGTTTACAAGGTCCCTTTCCTTTGGAATTGATGGAGATACATTCAGTACAGACGTAAGCTCTGAAATAGATGATGAAAGGTGCAAAGGTGTGAGTTATTAAAAAGTTATACTTCCATTTCCAACTTTGAATCTATGATGTTGACCCAAAGACACCTTCGTTTTCTTACTGCAAAAAAGACGAGATAATTTGTTGAAACTGGTAGATGACTTTTCCATCATCATTACCAGAGTGAATGCTGGAGTACATGTATGGACACTATGAAGAGTGGTTGGCTGCTGACAATATTTTGGTTTTAAAGTGGTAAAAAGTTAGAGGCTTTTTTGTTGTTAGAAATGATCATTTAGAAACAAATAATTCTAAGAGGTCATTCTAACATTCTTTAGTCCCACTGCCTCCAATTATTCATTAAAAAGTTTAGATACATAAACTTTAAAGTCACCCGATTCCTCAAGTGCAAGCCAGTCCACAGGAAACCTCTGTACCACCCCCCTGTTAAAAAAATTATATGGAAGTGGCCACTCTCGCCAATATCCCCTGGTTAGTTGACAACAATAGAGGGCATATGAAGAAAATTGCTAAGGAAGCCAAAGGAGATCTCATCATGAAGAAATGATGAGGCCATTTGAACAATCAAACAAGACTTCGGAAGAGTCTATTTCAAAACTGACCATGTGTTTGACATCCATTGAAGATGGAATAGCCAGTGGGATGCAAATGTTAGCAATAGCCTTCCCTAAACAACCCCTAACCACTAGTGTATCTCATGTTCCTCCAGTATACCACCCACATTTTATCACATAAAGTGGCGTTGCCTCACCACCTTCGTATGGTACCCTATTATGCTGAAGTTCTATACACTCCCCATTCAATAAAATTGGTGACAAAGAATTCAGTCAGTCCATCACTAGGTGAGGACCAATTGTAGGTGCTACACACATACACACTATTGGAAGATGATATCTTCCATTAACTGAGATGAGTGTTTTATCCAGTTGAACAGAAAGACATTTGTTGAGTTATAGGTCACTGTAAAAGATTTGATATTAATGTATATTACTTGCAGTAGTTATTTGTGATTATATACATATACATACATATGTATGAGTACATGTATAGTTTCTCTCTGTCAAATGAGGAGTCTTTCTTTTCTTAAAAGTATATAGAGTATTCAAGGTTGCACTGATCTCGCTAAAGGCAAGTGAGGTCAAAGCAAGTAAATTGTGTC